TGACCCATGCCGGCTGTCAGTATGGCTTAGAATTTCACCACTCAAACTTTCATCATCAAAGAGACTCAGTTGCCGTAAAAGGCATAAGGCATTCGCTTACTAAGTTTTCTTCTATTTTATTTTTACGCTTCATCGCAAACAACGTAGCCGGTGATAGCGCTGATTTTCTTCCGATAAGCCGCCTTCGATTTTCCATGATAAACGCTTTTCTCTGTACACATGCTGACGACATTACATCATATGCGATGCTATTCCTTTCTAAACCAATTAGGGCAGTTTATCTTTCAACGCGATCCATATCACTGAATGATTGACCTATAGTCACATAGTAGAAGAAGAGATTTCTTAAAACTAGCATCTTTTACTGTTTTAGGCAGTGCGCTTTGTGCGATTATTTGGCGAAATCCCCGTCAAGTCGGATAATCACATTCTTCGCAAAGTAAATTCTAGGTCATCTTATGTTCCACTTCATCAACCTCTCTTTCATGACACCATTTGTTTCAAAAAATTTTCGAATGTCTTCTTGCGAAAGATCGCACTTGTTTTATGCAAGAAACGTGTTTTGTGATTTCACTACCAGCTACTGCACTCCATTCTTTGAGCTTTACTCTTTTTACATAGCGTCTTCTATCCTAATTCTGAGAGCATGCGTATTAGCGTATCTTTCTGTAACTTATACATAAATTTTTCTAGGCAAACACATTGAACATGAGATTCTGGTACCTTTAGTTTGTCACTTTGAGAAAGCTAAGAGTAAGCAAACATATTAATTTTGAACAAGCAAACAAAAGTTTCGTGACAAACAACCTATATGTTTCAAAATACTGTGTCTTGCTTATTGTAACCCAAAAATCTGTCCGAAGATGTCCAATTATAGAATCATTGTGGTCAATCTATCGGAAGTCTTCTTCCTTATCTTAAAATCCCTCAAAAGATGCCTGCATAATTTCAGTCTTAATTGCTGTGTGTAAAAAATGGTAAGGATTCGCTTAAATATAACATTCATCAATGTTGTTGCAATGCATTTACTGATGTCTGAAAAGCAGGGGCACTTCATTTGAATTCTAACCATTTTATGTTAATGGAGCAACACCTTGCATCACATAGAACTAGCCTAGTTCTATAGGAGAAAATTAATAGAGAATTTGTGATGGTTCCAACATGCCAACATATCTAAGAAAACATCATTTAAAGAGTGCTTTCATCGCCAAGCTTAGCTTTGCATAATGTAAGCCTCAAAGAAGACATTCCCAGTCATCAAATACAATTGTTAACGACTGCCAGAAATATGAAGTTACCAAAAAAGTTTATTTAAACATGTTGACATAATAATTTCTTGTGTTTTGGTTTGAAATTTTTTAAATCATGGCAGTTTATAACAGTGAAGAGTTATACATCTTCAGACGATGCAAATCTTTCTCAGGAAAACAGAAGTTCTTGCGACCACAAGAAAAATTGACAATAATGTTCTATAGTTTCGAGGAATATTTGATTTGGAGACAACAGTACATTGGGCTCTTTCTAACGATGTTAGGGAATCGTCAATTCACTTAGATTACTAAAGTGGCGGAGTATATAATGCAGTTTACAAGTGCTCAATAGTGGAGAAGCTTACTAACAAATAGTTTATTTTCCTATAGATTTATATAAGCCGGAGCAGATTCGAACTAATATATTTTTATTTTTTCCTCCTTTTGATTATACCTACAGTTTAATCCATGAGTTTAAAGGATACGTCCAATCATGAAATACACGCTAGAAACTTACACGGAAATTAGAAAAATAGTAAAATGGGAAACTCAGCTCACTATACCTTGAAAATCTAAAAATTCTGCTTTGATAGAAATAAAATTTACAAGTCGTGCTAATTTAAATGGGGAAGAAAATTATGTGAACTTCGGGGAGGAATGTAGCCAAGATTGTTCACATTACTTGAGCTTTATGTACATACTTTCCATCATGCATCGAATATTTATATATTTGCTCTGTTATATTTTGCAATGTATTAATAAACGTAACCTAGGACCTATCCTTCGGGCCTCAGTAACATGGAGATACGTGACAGTCTTTGTGACCTGGGCCGAATGGAGATTCCAAGACCTCAGTTCAACGGCATGCAATTTGTCGCAACTCGAGGCAAACTTGGGTTTTATAAGGTCAGGTGTTCTACTACGTTCCATTGAGAGGATAAATGCTTATTTTAGACCATACGTGAAAATGGAGGTAAGTATGGGATCCAGGTGAAACCACAAGGACCGCGTCGACCCGCTCTGAGTAGCGATGTCTACGTGAAGTAAGTTATTTGTTTAACTGTGGATTATCTATTTGAAAACTTGATTCAG